GGATGGGGTGTGGGAGGATTTGGGAGGGCCTCCCAGTCCAGGCAGGGGAGCGGGCAGTGGTGCGGGGGCTGGTGGTGCTGCTGGGAATGATGGAAGTGAAGCCTCGATGTGGTGTGGCAGCGGGTGGAGAAGGCAGGGCAAAGGTCAGGGGTCAGCAAGGAGGATGTTTTCCTGCCTGGGGAATATCAGAGACAGGCTTGGTAGATCAGCCGCCTGTGCAGCCGCTTCATGGCTCTGCATTCCATTGATTTTACATCAAACAATAAAGAAAATATTATCCTGGCTTGTCACACACCAGCCAAAAATGCAAACAAGAAGCAAGGGCTGCATCCAGAGGAACAAGTGCCTCAGCAAGGCAGGTCTTCCCACCACTTCACAAATGGGGAAAGATCTCCAAAATGTGCCAGGAGAAACCCTAATGCCACCTCATCCTGACATGGTGAATGTTCTCCCCTCTGGGACCTGCCTCTCTGTGTGACCCTCCCTTTGCCCATGGGTAGGTGCTGAGGTCCTGTGCGGCCGTGCCAGAGGTCATTGAAGTCCTCTTCAATTCCTACTCACAAATCCCTGTCTCCCAGGAGTGGTCCGAGGCTGTGCCAGAGGAGGTGTTCCAGGTGAGAGAGTGCTGGCTTTGGTGGGGATGGCTGAGGCCCAAGGAGGGGGGTTACCCACAGAGAGGGGTTTTTTTCCCCACCCAAACTTCACTTGGATGGGGAAAAAAAAATTGGAATAGTCCCCAGAGCACCATGGCACACCTGATTCATCCAGGTTCGCATCCCTTTAGCTCTGTCGACATCAAAACCTGCATCCCTGCCCAACCTGCAATAAAATCCACTCCCAGCATATGGAAGTGACCCTGGAGCCAGAGCACTGCCCAGCAGGAGCCCACAAGACTCATTTTGATTTGAAAAAGCTTGTTCCTGGACAAGCAACAGGTCTGGTCAGCCCACTCTGGCACCATCCATGATGGTTTCCCCATCTGAGAAACAGGGTCTCTTCTCCAAGGTCTCTTCTCATCCATTCCCACCGGGATGATGCTGCCAGTGACCATGAGGGCACCCTCCCCACGAGGCCAGCTTTCTCCACGTGCTTCCACAGGGGAATTCCTCACCCAGCCCTTGCTTGCAGGGCCGTGTCAGTGCATGGACCCCTTAACGCCCAGGCACACGTGGGTTCCTTACCTCCTTCCCTTCAGTCTTCATCCTAGAATATCTCCAGCTTGCTTGGTAATCAGGAAAAAACTAAAGTGCTGCCCCTGTTCCCCCTCTCTTTGCAGCAGCACCAGCCGTTCTACAAGTCCCTGTTCCAGCTGGCGGGTGCCGTGCGGTGCCTGCAGCACTTGTGCCGCTCCGCCATCCGGGAGAACCTCGGCAGCAGGTGCCACAGCCTCATCCCTCTGCTGCCTGTGCCCAAGGCTCTGCGGGAATACCTGCTGCTGGAGCCCGAAGGAGTCGTGCTCTGAAGGAGCAGATCCACGTCCAAGTGCAGCCCTGCCTTCCCCGCACGGAGCAGGGCAGCCTCCGTTCCTGCCAGCCGAGCCAGGGAGCGCAGCTTCCCGTGATAGATGGCTGTTTTCCAGGGATTTATAATGTAACTGAAATGTGCTTTCGCCTGTAACTTTGTATAGATTTTTTTCTCTAATTGTGCTTTAAATAGATTATAAAGAGTAATAAAATGATTAGTAGCTGTTGGGAGCCAGCTGCAGATATGAATAATGCTCATTATAGAGGATCCCTGCAAAGCAGGGGGGCTGCTCAGGTGTGCAAAGGCAAGCAGGTCAGTCCCATCAGCCCACATGGGCATCAAATCCCCTTGAATAAACCTCACACAAGCAGCACTGGCAACAGAGGTGCAGCATGGAAGCCCTTAGCAGGATGCAATATCCAGGGGCATTAATATAGACCTTAAAATAGACCAAAAAAATCTATTTTTTTATGTAGAAGGCACGAAGAAAGTGCTGGTTATTCCACACTGGAGGGAGTGACACAGCTCCCTGTATCTCCTGGCTTCCAACACTCCATAGAATGCACCAACACCTGCCATACCCACCATGCCTATCACTGTCCCCAGGCTGGCACACGAAAGGGTTGGAAAACCCAGTGGCAGGAGTTTGGGCTTTCATTTCCCACAGCGACTCAGCCAAAGGCACCAGGAGGAGCGAGGTTTTGTTTTTCCCAGACCCTCGGCCTCCCCAGATTAATTCCTGCTGAACCAAAGCATGTGCACCTGTGTGTCCCTTGGAAGAACAGTTGTCCTCATGCCAGCAGCTCTGCCACAGCACTCACCAAATCCTTCCACTGCTTAATTACACTCGTTTGGGGGTTTTTTATATATATATAAATACCTCATTTTGCATGTTTGGCTGGACTGTGCAGCAGCACCTAGCGCTATCATGGCTTGTGGATGGGATGCAGGCAGCATCCCTGGCTCCCAGAGCAGCTGCCTGTGGAGTGTGGAAATGGGGAGGAAAAAGAAATTCCTCCCTCCTCCAGCTTCCACCTGCTGCTTCCACATCATCCCTCACCATTTCAGTTGTATATGGATGGGCAACTGCACTGCCAAGCCCACCCCGTGTTCCCAGTCTTTGGTGCCCTGCCGTGGGAATGCCTGAGACCCCGTCAGACCTGGCACCTCGTGGCTTTAGTGGCTCTTTGACTTTATGGTTTGTTTTGGTGGCTGGAGCAGGGTGTGGGAATTGAAGGGGATTTAGGGGAAAAACCCATCCTGGCCGAGCTTGAACCAGCCCAATCCAAATTTTGGTGCCTCTTTCATCTTTTGTGCGGTGCCCGGAGCGGGAAGAATGACACGTTTTACATCCCTATCGGGCACTTTTGCAGGGAGACAGAGTCCCACCGGGCGACCACATCCTCCCCCCAGAATCCCAAATCCCACATCCCGCAGCCATGGCCTCGCTGCACAGCCGGTGAGGGGGGAAATGCAGGTCCAGGGGAGGGAATGAAGCGGCTGTGGGGGCCGGAGGGGCCGCGGGAGGGGGACACGCGTGGGCCGGTGCGCGGCTCCCCGCGGCCCGCAGGGGGCGCGCTGGGCACGGCCGGCGGGGGGACCCCGGGCGGGACCCCCCAAAAACACCCGGCAGAGCGGGGGCGAACGGGGGGAAACCTGCGGGAAACGGCTCTCGGGGGCTTAGGGGGCTTCTCGCCCTCAATTTCAGCCGTTCTGCCGGTGGCGCGGGGAGCGCGGCGGCGGGGGATGCTCCGGGCGGGGTGATGGTGATGGTGATGATGCTCCGGGTGGGATGGGGATGATGCTCCGGGTGGGATGATGCTCCGAGCTTGGGTTGATAAGTTTGGCGGGCGGGTAAAGAAGCGTCTGGCTATATATATATTTAAATATATATACACGCACCAAATATATGGGGGGGTTATTTTATTTTTTTTTTATTTCCCCTCCTGCCGGCGCCTTGTTTTGATGCAGATGTTACGAGGAAAGGATCGGTTTTATTATTTTTTTTTATTATTATTTTCCAGCAGCTAAAGACGGGAGGTCACATTAACTTCTAATACGGAGACGCATAAAAATGCGATTATGCCTGCTAAACAGAACACAGTAGGCTGCTAGTTAAGACAATGAGATTTCCAGGAAGCGATGCATAAATTCTTCAAAAAATGACACATTTTTCACGTTTCATTCCAATTAAATTACTGAGGCAGCTAACACAGCGCTGTGCACGCCATACATTTGGGGGAAATGAAGGCTTTTCTGGTTTTTTTTCTTTATTTTTCTTTCTTTTTTTTTTTTTAAGTCTATCTGGATGTGCGTGTTTTATGAAAGACGTTTGATATTAAGCAGCTATTAAGGAAAAAAATGTCAGAGACCTTCTCTCCTCGAGGATTTTTTTTTTTGTGCGTGTGTGTGTGGTGGGGCTGCTCCTGCTCGTTTTCCCACTCTGCAGCATTAAACCACCGATGGTCCAGCTGCAGAATAATTTCCAAATAATGGGAATTTCCCGCCATGATGCACACACCTCTCTGTTTGCAAGGAGCTGGGGAGAATTAAGGAGTGATGCCCACCCTCCCACCCCCCCAAAAAAAGGTTTTGCCGTCCCGTCGGGTGTTCTTCCCCACAGCTGAGATCCTCTGGAGCAGGATCGAGCCCGCCCCGGGGATTCTGCGGGAATGGAGGGGGGTGGTGGGTGAACCCAGTGGGAAGCCGGGTTTGCCTCCCACAGTCTGAAAACGGGCTCCTCAGGGTGATAATCAAACCTCGAAGTGGCCCCGGTAATGAAACAGCGTTTGGGGGGTTTTATTTTTTTGTTATTTATTTATTTTTTAAAGCAGGCTGCACTGGGTGATCCGCAAAGCAATACAAATCAGAAATGAGATTTTTGAAGTCCTAATGAACCTGATTGCAGGAACATTTATAATCCCCCATGGCTTTAAATGAAATCAGATATAATCAGGAACTATGGGGAAAGGGAGTGTTTACAGGCAGAGATTGGGAAGTGCTGCTGTATTAGTAAAGATGCTGTTCCTTCTATTGATGTCTAAAATGATGGATAATGTGAGAATGGCAAATATACTATTTGTCTAATGGCTCTGCAATTAAATTCCCCTGTAAATGACCCATGCCTCATTTCATCCTAATCTATGGAATTTTGATTGAATTCGTCAGCTCTAATTGAAAAATACTGCACTTTAATGTCTGCAGTGCAGTTTCAGGACCGCGCTGGTTTTAATGAGACGGTGCCCCTCTGACCTGGGAATATTTTAGACTTTTATTCGGGATTTTTTTTTTTAAACTGCCGGATTTCTCAACTCGATTCCACGAAAAGCCGGGAATGAGAGCGCGTGGGGTTTGCCACCACTAATCTCTCCGTAGCCATGCATTTGATTAAGGTCTCCTTTAAGGCTCTTAAAATATTTGGACTCCGGTTATTTAAATATGTATCCATTTAAAATAATTTTTAAAATAGCCTAATTCCCCTTATCCGAACGAATTTTGGGATATGAGCCGGGATTATGGAAGTCAAAATTTTTCTCTTTTTTTTTTTTTTCTTCCTTTTTTTTTTCTTTTGACCTGCACGGTGTTATTTTTACCCTCTTATCCTATTTTTTTTTACCCGAAAATCCCGACCGCCTTCGAGTTTGTTAAAAAAAAAAAAAAAAAAAAGGAAGAAAGGGAAAAAGGAGGGGGGAAGGAAAGGGAAAAAAGGAGGGGAAAAGAGGAGGAGGGGGGGAAGGGGGAAAAAAGGGGGGGAAAAGGGAGAAAAACCACATAGAAAAAAATAAACCGACAATAAGAAGCGGCACATCCCCGGTGCTGGGGGGAAGTTGTGGGAGAACCCCCAAGGATGGGAACCCCTCCCCTCCGGATCCGCGACCGAGCCGCGGTGCGGGGACCCTGCAGGGGCGGGGGGGCTGGCAAGAGTTCAAATGGGAACACGCGAAGGAGTTAATGGGATTAAGCGACGAATGAGGGATTTGGGGGTTGTTTTTTGTTTTGGTTTGCCTTTTTTTCCCCCGCTTGGGAAGCGGAGGGGGAGGCGGGAGGGGGTTCCCGGCGGGCACGCGTGGGGCAGGGGTCTCATCCCGCGGCGGGCGCGCTTCCATGCGCATCCCTATTCCCACAGCCAAGGGGCAAATCCTACCCTCCCACGTCTCCATCCCTCTTACTCCCAGCTCCCGCAGCCCAAAACCGCTGAAATGAACCCTGAGACACGCACAAAACCGCATCCCCCTTCCCCGCAGAGATGACGGGGGGGTAGGATGGAGAGCCCTGGCTGCATCCCTAATTCAGTGCTCACACCTAATCCTTGCCTCGTTAAATATACACGGATTTTTTGGGGGTAGTTCTGCTCACGGTCTCCCCTCTTGCTCAGCTCCCTTTCCCAGGGAAAAAAATCACTTCAAAAGCTCAGCGGGGTGAGATGATTTTGGTGACATTTCCCACGCAATTAAAATTTCCCCAGCGGATGCAAGAATTAGCTCGGCAGAGCCTTTGCAAGCCTGAGTTTTGGCTTTGAAAAAGTCACTGGTATTAACATCTGCTGGAAAACAGAGCTGCCCCCCCAATCCCTCCTCACTGACCTCGGGGACCAGCAGCAGCACAGACTCTCCTCCAAATAATGCTCCTCGCCAGCACAGCCCCCCAAAACCCCATGGGAGGACACCATCCCATGTGGTCCATGGAAACCCCCAGCACAGCTCCCAGCCAACAGCCTGGAGGTGCCCAAAGGGCTGGGAGCAGCCATTGGCTCCCCAGCCCAGGTGGAGGGATGCTCTGACCTCTGCCACCCTATGGATTCCCACGTGGAAGGGCTCAAGCACATCCCACTCCTCCTCTTCCTTCATGGCTCCCTTCTTTCACTTCTTCACTCCAAAAAGCTGCACCCCCTCCCCACCCCGATTTGGGGGTTTATTTAGCCCACACTCTTTCCCCCCAGCCAAGAGACCCCGAGAGTCACAGACACTCCCCCAAAATCTGCCCAGTTCAAAGATGACGTATCTGCTGCTCCTCTCCTGAGAAGGTTTTTGGGACAAAACCTGCTGGAAGGCACCTGCTCTTCAGCATTCCCTAATCTAGGTGACTCGGGAGCCTCCTGCAGCAGCATTTGAGTGCCACATTTCAAGCTGGGTCCATGTGGGACCTGCTTTGCACCCACACCACGGCCCAGCCAGGCTGCCCAGGGGGAAAAGGGGCTCCTCCCCAGCCAAGCATGACCCTCCAAAGTATTGATTTAGATTTAGACCCCTTGGGAAAGGCTCCCGGCATGTCCCCGTGGCAGCGGGGGTCCCTCCGGGGGCTCCCCTGCCTGCTCTGCCCTGCCCCTTGCCTCCCTCACGCCTGCTACACTTCCCAGGCACAATCACGCTCCGGTTGCTCCTCCGACAATCAGAGATCGCCGACGTTTTTCTCCGGGAGAAAAATCAGCTAATTATGTGCCGAACAAAAAGCCTATTCTTGCCCGAAATAATGCTCCCGTCTTGCAAAGGCACTTGTTTGTGGGCAAATTTTGAAGGGGGCTGACAATAAAAACAGCTGCAGGAGCTGGGTGTTGGTACACATTTCCATGCCCTGCCGGATTACCGTGCCTAATTATCTCTCCCCTTTCCACAATCTAACGTGGGTTCCTGAAAAGAGATGATTTTTTTTCCCCCCCTCTCTCACTCGCTTTTCTATTCCAACGAAAGCTTTGCTCCTCCGCACGGCTTTCCAGCCTGCTCGGGTTGGTTTGGGAATGAGCAGGGATGCTGCTGATTTGGGGGGATGGAGAGTTTAGCTCAGCTCCATCCATGGTGGATGGAAGGAGAGGGAGGCAGGAGAGGGCTGTGATCGGGTGATGCCTGATGGATCCCGAGGAGGGGGAAAAGGGAAAAACACGGGAGAGAAACAACCACACACGCAGCTCCGAGGCATCCGCAGGAGAGATCCAGTCGTGCTGGGAAAAACCCCGAGCGCTGCACTGCTGCACATATGGTGGCCTCTGAGAGGGGAGTCTGGACATATGGAAATGAGCTGGATAAGTAAACTTCTCCCAGGTCCCTGAAGTCAGAGACGGGCCCCAAAAGTGTTTGCGCGCACACACCACACAACCCCCTCACCCCCAGCAGCAGCTGCTTCCGTGGCCATCCACCCTGTCCCACGTGCCATACCTCTGGGAAAATTGCTTTCTCCGGCAGAAGTGCAGCGCTGGGGAAGAGGAAACCCCAGAATTCATGCCGGGGGACCAACAGGGCTCGGAAACCCAAAAGCTGCACCGAGGGAAGGGGAGCCACAGGCAGGACTGGCCGGCACAACTGTGCCGAGGCCCAAAAGCAATAACCCCCCTCTAATAGTTTCTGCCAAGAAAAGAACGCTTTCAGATGTTGGCTGGAGATGTGGAGGGATAAACTGACTCAGATATCCGGGCATGGGTCGGGGGGCAGCCCCAGTCCCCCGTTTCAGGAAACCAACGAGCTTCAGTGGCGGGAATGAGCAGGGAAAGGGGTTTTTGAGAGGACTGCAAATGTCACTTGCTAAGGGCTGGCAGGGAGGTTGTGATACCCCTTTCCAGAGGACAAACCACAAAGGGAACTTCTTGGGGGGGTGGGGGGGGTGGGGTGTAGAAGCTCGAGGGGGGTGTCCTTTGGGATGCACAGCTGTGCCAGTGCTGGAGGGATCACTCTCACCCCGTGTGCCTCTGAGCTTTTGAGGGCCTGGAGGGGTAGGATTTGGGGGACAGAGGATGGTTGTCCTAATCCTTAGCACCCACCAGCCACTGCCATGGGCAGGTCACCTTCCTCCTGCAACGCGCAGTGCCCAGCCTGCAATCTTCCATCCTCCCCTGGAAAACTGGAGCATCCATTAGCTAGAAAGGAGCTGTGGATCAGTAAGAGTTTCCCAAGCGGACAGGCCAGGCAGGACAGGGATCGCCTGTTGACCCTTGGTTTTGGGGGAGCCACCCCTCTGCCAAAAGCCACTTTAAGTCAGGGCTTGTCTGCAGAACCCCCCCAAAGCCAAGCCCAGGGGCAAAGCCAGCACCATTGTCCCAGGAAGACTCCAACTTCCCAGAGGCAGGAGGGATCCCACCCCCAGCCAACTCCCCTCCTTTCTCTTTTTTTCTCCCACTCCCCTTTTTTTTTTTTTGCATTTAATTTTATTTTCCAAACCACTTGATCTTTGCTTGGGAACCTCTATTAATTGCCTGGGTTTGCCTCTTCGCCTGGTCCCTTTATCATTATTTATGGCCTTTGAAATTGTGTAAAGTTCCCTTGACGTTCAATTTACAAGTTTGGGGGCTTTTTTTTTTTTTCCTTTTTCCCCCTTTTTTT